ATACATTATTTTTTATTTACGGGTAAGGAGTGCGCGCGCTACAGCTGTCAATCACTGGGTCCCGGCCGGAGATTTCCTGTCGGCACTTGGCGATCGCCGAGGAACACTGACAGGGGAGATCTCTCCCCTGACGGCTCCAGCACACTGCTTTGTATTGCTCTGCGGACACAGCGGATCACCGATCCACGGAAAGAGCCGAAGATGTCGGCTCGGTCATGTGATCAGCTGTGTCCAATCACAGCTGATCACACGTAAACAGGGAAATGCCAGTTATCTGCATTTCTCCCTCACGAGCTGTCAGCGTGACAGCTCGTGAGGAGAGGAGATCCGGTAATCAGCTTTCCTCGGAGGGGACATCTACACAGATCATCAGAGCACTGATGATCAGTGTGCGCTGATGATCTGTGTAGCCCCAGCAGCGCCACCTGTCAGTGTCCATCAGTGCCAGCTCTGTGCTCATCCATGCCACCTGCCAGTGCCCATCTGAGCTGCCTTTCAGTGTCACCCATCAGTGCCACCTAACAGTGCCAGTCAGTGTCGCCTATCAGTCCATGAGTGCTGCCTATCAGTGCAGCCTCATTAGCGCACATCAGTGAAGGAGAAAAATCACTTATTTACAAAATTTTATTACAATAACAAAAATAAGAAAAAAAACAGGGTTTTTTTTTTTTTCCAAATTTTCAGTGGTTTTTGGTTTGTTTAAGAAAAAATAAAAAACCCAGAGGTGATTAAATACCACCAAAATAAAGCTCTGTCACAAAAAAAGTGATAAACATTTCATATGGGTGCAGTGTTGCATAACCGCGCAATTGTCAAAGTGCAACAGCACTGAAAAGCTGGAAATTGGCCTGGGCAGGAACAGGAAGGGGGTATAAGTGCCCTGTAGGCTAGTGGTTATTCTTCTTCAGGTGAACCCATTCCTTTGTCAAATTGAATGTATGCTTTGGGTCATTGTCATGTTGAAAGATTCATGTTAAGCTTTCTAGCAGAAGCCTGAAGGTTTTGTGCCAATATTGACTGGTATTTGGAACTGTTCATAATTCCCTCTACCTTGACTAAGGCCCCAGTTCCAGCTGAAGAAAAAAACAGCCCCAAAGCATGATGCTGCCACCACCATGCTTCACTGTGGGTATGGTGTTCTTTTGGTGATGTGCAGTGTTGTTTTTGCACCAAACATATCTTTTGGAATTCTGGCCAAAAAGTTCAACCTTGGTTTAATCAGACCATAACATTTTCTCTCATGCTTTTAGGAGACTTCAGATGTGTTTTTGCAAAATTTAGCCGGCCTTGGATGGTTTTTTCTTTGTAAGAAAAGGCTTCTGTCTTGCCACTCTACCCCATAGCCCAGACATATGAAGAATACAGGAGATTGTTGTCACATGTACCACACAGCCAATACTTGCCAGATATTCCTGCAGCTCCTTTAATGTTACTCTAGGCCTCTTGGCAGCCTCCCAGACCATTTTACTTCTCGTCTTTTCATCAGTTTTGGAGGGACGTCCAGTTCTTGGTAATGTCACTGTTGCGCCATATTTTCTCCACTTGATGACTGTCTTCACTGTGTTCCATGGTATATCTAATGCCTTGGAAATTCTTTTGTACCCTTCTCCTGACTGATACCTTTTAACAATGAGATCTCTCTGATGCTTTGGAAGCTCTCTGCGAACCATGGCTTTTGCTGTAGGATGCGACTAAGAAAATGTCAAGAAAGACCTACTAGAACAGCTGAACTTTTTTGGGGTTAATCAGAGGCACTTTAACCACTAGCCTACTGGCTACTTATACCCCCTTCATGCCCAGGCCAATTTTCAGCTTTCAGTGCTGTTGCACTTTGAATGACAATTGCGCAGTCATGAAATTTGTATCATTTTTTTCACACAAATAGAGCTTTCTTTTGGTGGTATTTAATGGACACTGGGTGTATTATTTTTTGTGCTATAAACAAAAGAGCAAAAAATTAAATGGTTAAATGATGGCAGGTGTGTACTGACTCCTATTTAACATGATTTTAAATGTGATTGCTTACTTCTGAACACAGCTACATCCCCAGTTATGAGAGGGTGTGCACACTTATGCAACCGCATTATTTGAGTTTTTTATCTTTACTTCTGCCCCCCCCCCCCAAAAAAAAAAAAGATTTCAGTTTGTTGTTCAACTGAGTTGTACAGTTAATAGGTCACATTAAAAGGTGGAAAAAGTTCTGAAGTTATTTATCTTGGTCTAATTTTTTTACATCACAGAAATCTGACATTTTAACAGGGGTGTGTAGACTTTTTATATCCACTCTATACCTGCAAACTCTGCCACTGAGACACCTCACCAGCCAACTTTCTACTGTACGCTATTTCCCCTCTACAATGGCTTTTTTTCTCAATAGATTTTGTTGCGTTGATGTGCTTACATGCGTTGTGTTAAAATGCATACACATAGCATTTTGTTACCTGCTCCCATGCTCGGCTTCAGGACCTCTCCCATCCTCTGGAGCTCTTTACCCCAATATGTCCGATCAGCTCCTACTCTGTCCATCCTTGAAAACTCATTCAAGCCTACCCAACCTCCACCAGATCATTCCCTGCAGCTATTACCTTTCGTACCACCTTCCCCTCCATTTATATTGTAAGCTCCATGAACAGAGCCCTCCTATTACTTCTGTATTGAACTATATGAGGTGAGACAATTTAATTCCTGGAATGTCCACTACGTAGCACTTTGGTGGTGAGTCACACAGCCATTTGCACTCAAGCATGTTCTGACATGTTCTAACTTGCACTTGCATGGGTCGCAGACCAGTTGACTCGGTCTTTAGAGTAGTAGAAGAAATAATACATGTGTGGCCATTGTGCTGCTGCTAGAAAAAGAGTGACAGGAATCTGGACGGTGCATTATCAACTTTGGCATGAAAATTTACAAAAGTGTGAGCGAAACTTTCGTTCTGTTACAACAGGCTTGAGTGGAACACTCTATAAAGGAATGAAGTGTTTTTAAATGGAGTGTGGTTTACGGAAAGGTGGAAAGATGTCCACGGTGCATGAAGTGGACAGCCAAAAACACAAAAAGGACGGGTGCAAATGTGGCCAGAGAATGAACCCTCATACATACAGATCAAAGATTGAGTGTGCCAAAGATGGCAAAAAAAAAATTGGACATGAACAGGGAAACGTGTGCAGGAGATTCTAACAGAGGATTTGGGAATGAGAAAGATTTCTGCATAGATGGTGCCTGGAATCTTGACAGAAGATCGGAAAGAACGTCAACTTCAAATTTCATCCGATCTTTTGAAGAATGCAGAGGTGTTAGATAGGGTTATTACTGTTCCATTCCAGGAATGAAATTGCCATCGCTCATATCGTATTCTACTGTCCTCCTTTATACTGTAAAGTGCTGTGCAAACTGTTGGCACTATATCAATGCTGTATAATAATAAGAAGTCATTTTAACACAACGCATATGATACAGACAACAACTGTTTTCTATGCATCTTAATAGCAAGCTGTATTCTTCCAGTGCAATAAAACGCAGGATGTGTGAACAGGGCCTGCTTTTTCCAGGTTGTAATTAGGGATGCATTGCTATATCGGCAGCCAACAATGGCTTCTGTTTTTACTATAAAAGAAACGCGTCAAGGAAACTCACGTGCAAAGTTGTGTCCCATAGACTTCGATGCAAAAACGCCCCCCCCCCCCCCCCCCCCCCCCCCAGTGACTTCAATGCAAAATCGTGTTCCATAGACTTCAACACAAAGAAACGCCCCCTAGTGACTTCAATGCAAAACCACCCCCCAGTGGTTATGAATAAGCACTAGTCTATAGCATGAAACACATTAACCTTTGTGCCCCTGACACTGTCTGCGATATGGATTTTATCAATAAAGAATGAAGAGTGAAACGGATTCCAAATATTCTTTACCTTACCGCCCCCTAGGGCCTTCAAAGCAAAAATCGCATCCCATAGACTTCAATGCAAAAACGCCCCCTAGTGACTTCAATGCAAAATTGTATCCCATAGATGTCAAAGCAAAAGCGCCCCCTAGTGACTTCAATGCAAAATTGTGTCCCATAGATGTCAATGCAAAAGCGCCCCCTAGTGACTTCAATGCAAAATTGCGTCCCATAGATGTCAATGCAAAAACATCCCCGTGTACCTTCAATGCAAAATTGCGTCCCATAGATATCAATGCAAAAACACTCCCTAGTGACTTCAATGCAAAATTGCGTCCCATAGATATCAATGCAAAAAACGCCCCCTAGTGACTTCAATGCAAAATTGCGTCCCATAGATGTCAATGCAAAAAAACGCCCCCTAGTGACTTCAATGCAAAATTGCATCCCATAGATGTCAATGCAAAAGCGCCCCCTAGTGACTTCAATGCAAAATTGCGTCCCATAGATGTCAATGCAAAAACGTCCCCATGTACCTTCAATGCAAAATTGCATCCCATAGATGTCAATGTAAAAAAACCCCCCTAGTGACTTCAATGCAAAATTGCATCCCATAGATGTCAATGCAAAAACGCCCCCTAGTGACTTCAATGCAAAATTGCGTCCCATAGATGTCAATGCAAAAACACCCCCTAGTGACTTCAATGCAAAAATTGCATCCCATAGATGTCAATGCAAAAACATCCCTGTGTACCTTCAATGCAAAAATGCCAGCCCCATTAAATTTAAAACAAAACTGTCCGTTTTTGTTTCAGTTTTGGGCCAAGCGCATCCTGAATTTTCGGTATTAGCACAAGAATTCATGTCGGTGAATCACTAGTTGCAATGCGTAGAGCATGCACAGGCCCAGACCTGGAGGGCACAGGAACTCAGACCCGCCTGGTATTACTCTGAAGGACCGGTACCCTCAGCAATATATCCATGAAAATACCGCTAGAACCGGTGAGGACGTAGTAACCGCCTCTCTAGCAGACAACTATCTGAGGTAACGCTTTCTGACGAAGTTTGACCCGACTCGGCTCCCGTGGGCGGCGCTGTCCTGTGGTCACGTGTCCCGTGCGGTGGTTGGTTCGAGCAGTGATGGCGTTAGATGGAGGTGCTGGGCAGTGGGAGCCGGAGGAAGAGGAGGGGAGCCCAGGGGACAGCGGCCATGTCTCCCACAGTCAGAGCGCCTGCAGCGGCGGCTCGGTTGGCCTTCTGAACGATGACGAGCAACAAGGTGCAGGTCTGAAAACAACAGCCAATCAGCTGTCCAGCTACCTTCTCCCTGCCCATCATAAGACTGAGGTAAGGGCGGGGCTTCCTGACAGTCATGTGACAGCTCACCTGTGCTTGAGGTCAGTCTAGCTTCTCCTGAAATGCCACTCATCTGGCTGCTCTGCTGATCCTCTTCCTTCACTGCCTTGGGATAGGATGGCTTCTGATTTCCCTTACCCTTACTCCTGCTCAGGGTCAGTGATTCCCAAGAGTCAGGATCACAGTCAGTCAGCCAGCATTTTCAGCAATGATTGCCCCATAATACTGAAAAGTGGAAAAAAACATTTTATTGGGGCGTTGGGTAAGTACCAATAACTTACCTGTAGCGATGTGCCCCATTCAAGGTTGCTGCTCTGTTAGGGCTCATTCACAAAATAGACCACCTGATGGGAATGGGCCCCTAACCCTTTCACTGCCAGAGCCGTTTTTACATCTTTACACAAGTTTAAAAATCATTTTAGGCCAGAAGATTACATAAAACCCCCAAAACATTATTTTCTGAAAGCAGACATCCTAGGTCAGGGGTCTCCAAACTGCAGGCCGGATGTGGCCCTATCCTTGCCTTTATCCAGCCCTTGGGGGCACCATTCCTCCCACTGACACCAAGGTTGGAGCACAATTCTTCCCACTGACACCAAAGATGGGGCACCCTTCCTCTCAATGACACCAGTGATGGGGCACCCTTCCTCTTACTGACACCAATGATGAGGGCACACTTCCTCTCACTGACACCAAAGATGGGGCACCCTTCCTCTCACTGACACCAATGATGGGGCACCCTTCCTCTTACTGACACCAATGATGAGGGCACACTTCCTCTCACTGACACCAAAGATGGGGCACCCTTCCTCTCACTGACACCAATGATGGGGTACCCTTCCTCTCACTGACACCAAAGATGGGGCACCCTTCCTCTCACTGACACCAAAGATGGGGCACCCTTCCTCTCACTGACACCAATGATGGGCACCCTTCCTCTCACTGACACCAGTGATGGGGGCATCATTCTCACTGACACCAATGATGGGGCACCCTTCCTCTCACTGACACCAGTGATGGGGGCATCATTCCTCTCACTGACACCAATGATGGGGTACCCTTCCTCTCACTGACACCAATGATGGGGTGCCGTTCCTCTCACTGACACCAATGATGGGGCGCCGTTCCTCTCACTGACACCAATGATGGGGCACCATTCCTCTCACCACACCAATGATGGGGTACCATTCCTTCCACAGAAACCAATGATGGGGCACTATTGCTTTCACTGAAACCAATGATATAATATTTTTTACTCCCACTGACCACCAAGCCTATGGCATTGTTTACTCCCACCAATGCCAGGGAACTTTCTATTCCTGCTGGCCACACTCCAGCCTCCCTAATATTTGAAGGGCAGTAAACTGGCCCTTTGTTTTGAAAGTGTGGAGACCCCTGCCCTAGAGAATGAAATAGTGGTAGTTCCAATTTTTTATGTCACACGATATTACTGGAAAGGTTTTCAGTAAAAAGTAATTTCAGTAAAAAACACACTAAATTTCATTTTAGGGGGCAAAAAAAATGCAATAAATTATCCAGTTTGTTTGGTAAAATATAAAAGCCAAGGTTGCACCAAGTAAATAGATACCCAACATGTCAAACCTTAAATTTGCATGTGTCCATGAAATGTTGACTAACTTCAACATATATAATGTGCATCGCCATTGACGTTTTCACGGATGCATGTATTTACGTTTGTAAATGCCTATATTGGGGGGGGGAGCTTCATGGGGCTCATTTTTTGGGGGGGAGGGGATTTTAATTTTTTTACAATATAAAAACAAATTGATAAAAAAAAATCCCCTATGGGATGAACTTTGATAATTCTCTTTAATGAGACATTCGGGGTCTAAAAGCTCCACTGAATTCTGTACTCCACCTCTACACCCTTTCCTGGCCTTGATGGCCAGGGACACTGACAACAGGGACCCAGAAATGACATCATATACGTCACTTTTGGCTCAGAAACAAGATGGGGAGGATAGCAGATGTGTGTAAGCTCTCCTCCCTCCCCTCTACCAGCTCTGTTGGTCCCAGGCCCGCAGATGGGCAAGCGGAGCCCAGAATACATAGCGGGGAAGGGGGGGGGGGGCGTGAGCAGGGGAACACTCTACAATGGTGTGTGGGAGCATTCAGGAGGCAGCGCATCCGCCCAAAGGCTTCCACCTGACAAGCCCTGGTGCTTGTCTTCAGCAGGGCTAAATGTCACAACTACTGCATGTCCCATGTATCAGACGATACAAATTGTGCATCCCTGCATAATACAAATGCTGTAACTTGTTTTATTTTTGCTGGTTTGGATATAGACATCAAGTGACCTTTTCTCCACAGCAAATATTCCGGTTTCAATTCTTATTGCGTATAACAAAGACCTACTAATGTACATCATTTGTTTCACTCTAATTTAATAACTTTGGCATATGTTTGTTGCCCAGATTGAAAATTTGGAGAAGAGCTTGGAAGACTTACTTGTTAGAGTTGATGAGTTTGTTGGAATGTTAGATATGGTAAGTATAACTATGTATGCTTTACCGTATATTTCATAAGTGATATGAAAGGAAATGTTCAAACATAATAAATTACACTACATTTTTGTAACATACAGTGCCTTGAAAAAGTATTTACACCCCTTGAAATGTTCCACATTTTGTCATGTTACAACCAAAAACGTAAATGTACGTTATTGGGATTTTATGTGAAAAACCAACACAAAGTGGCACATAATTGTGAAGTGGAAGGAAAATGATAAATGGTTTTCAAAATTTTTTACAAATATCTGAAAAGTGTGGTGTGCATTTGTATTAAGCCCCCTTTACTCTGATACCCTTAACTAAAATCTAGTGGAACCAATTGCCTTCAGAAGTCACCTATTTAGTAAATAGAGTCCACCTGTGTGCAATTTAGTCTCAGTATAAATACAGCTCTTCTGTGAAGCCCTCATAGGTTTGTTAGAGAACATTAGTGAACAAACAGCATCATGAAGGCCAAGGAACACACCAGACAGGTCAGGGATAAGGGTGTGGAGAAGTTTAAAGCAGGGTTAGGTTATAAAAAAAAAAATATCCCAAGCTTTGAACATCTCACGGAGCATTGTGCAATCCTACATCCGAAAATGGGAAGAGTATGGCACAACTGCACACCTACCAAGACATGGCCGTCCACCTAAACTGACAGGCCGAGCAAGAAGAGCATTAATCAGAGAAGCAGCCAAGAGGCCCATGACAACTCTGGAGGAGCTGCAGAGATCCACAGCTCAGGTGGGAGAATCTGTACAAAGGACAACTGTTAGTCATACACTCCACAAATCTGGCCTTTATGGAGAGTAGCAAGAAGAAAGCCATTGTTGAAAGAAAGCCATAAGAAGTCCGTTTGCAATTTGTGAGAAGCCATGTGGGGGACACAGCAAAGAAGGTGCTCTGGTCAGATGAGACCAAAATTAAACTTTTTGGCCTGAAAGCAAAATGCTATGTGTGGCAGAAAACTAACACATCACCCTGAACACACCATCCCCACCGTGAAACATGGTGGTGGCAGCATCATGTTGTGGGGATACTTTTCTTCAGCAGGGACAGGGAAGCTCAGAGTTGATGGGAAGATGGATGGAGCCAAATACAGGACGATCTTAGAAAAAGAGTCTGCAAAAGATTTGAGACTGGGGCGGAGGTTCAGCTACCAGCAGGACAACGACCCTAAACATACAGTCAGAGCTACAATGTAATGGTTTAGATCAGGGGTCTCCAAACCTTCAAAACAAAGGGCCAGTTTACTGCCCTGCAAATAACAGGGCCTGGACTGTGACCAGCAGGAGTAGAAAATTCCTTGGCATTAGTGGGAGTAAACAATGCCATAGGCTTGATGATCAATGGGAGTAAAAACTATTACATCATTGGTGTCAGTGAGAGGAATAGTGCCCATTACTGATGTCAGTTGGAGGAATAGTCCCCTATCATTGGTGTCCGTGGGAGGAATAAGACCTCATCATTGGTGACCGTGGGAGGAATGGGGCCCCATCATTGGTGACTGTGGAAGGAATGGTGCCCCATCATTGGTGACTGTGGACTGAATGGTGCCCATCATTGGTGACCGTAGCAGGAATGGTGCCCCATCATTGGTGTCTGTGGGAGAAATGATGCCCCATCATTGTTTTCCGTGGAAGGAATGGTGCCCCGTCACTGGTGTCAGTGGGAGGAATGGTGCCCCATCACTGGTGTCAGTGGGAGGAATGGTGCTCCATCATTGGTATTAGTGAGAGGAATGGTGCCCCATCATTGGTATTAGTGAGAGGAATGGTGCCCCCATCATTAGTATTAGTGAGAGGAATGGTGCCCCAATCATTAGTGTCAGTGAGAGGAATGGTGCCCCCATCATTGGTGTCAGTGGGAGGAATGTTGCTTCATCTTTGGTGTCAGTGGGAGGAATGGTGATTCATCATTGGTGTCTGTGGGAGAAATTTAGCCCCATCTTTGGTGCCAGTGGGAGGCTAGTGCCTCCTATCAGTAGAAGGGATAGTGCCCCAAGGGATGGAAAGGGACACATCCGACCTGCGGGCCACAGTTTGGAGACCCCTGGTTAAGATGAAAGTATATTCGTGTGTAAAATGGCCCAGTCAAAGTCCACACCTAAATCCAATTGAGAATCTGTGGCAAGACTTGAAAATTGAGGTTCACAGACACTCTCCATCCAATCTGACAGAGCTTGAGCTATTTTGCAAAGAACATTGGGCAAACATTTCACTGTCTAGATGTGCAAAGCTGGTAGAGACATCCCCAAAAAGACTTGCAGCTGTAATTGCAAGGAAGGTGGTCCTACAAAGTATTGACTCAGGGGGGCTGAAAACAAATGCACACCACACTTTTCACATATTTATTTGTAAAAAGTTTTGAAAACCATTTATCATTTTCCTTCCACTTCACAATTATGTGCCACTTTGTGTTGGTCTATCACATAAAATCCCAATAAAATACATTTACATGACAAAATGCAGAAAATGTCAAGGGGTATGAATATTTTTCCAAGGCATTGTATAGGGTACAGGACACCAGGGATGGGTTCTGAATAGCAGATATATTTCCCCACTATTTAAGTTGTGGTCCCTTTTTAAAGGGATTGGTTTGAAGTTATTGCTGAGGTGCTCACCCATGCATGGTGAGGGGTTCCAAGGTAGTTTGGTTGATAAAAAGAGGAATGAATTTCTGTACTCTGTGGCTTGTTGAGTCCTTATTAGGGACTCAATTTTGGAGGTTCGAAACGTTTTGGGTGGGAAGACCCTCCAAACCCTGATTACAAAGACTTTCGTCCAGAAGGGGTTAACCTGGGTCCATCACAGTCCAGAAAAGGAAGAGGAAACAGTCAGCACCTGGTTGTAAGAGACACCTGAGCAAGCAGTTTCTGAACTGTGAAAACCACCTCTTTGGGACTCCTGAAGCAGACAGGAAACCCCCAAAACCCCAGTTTGGGACCAGTATAGTGGCGGTGAGCCATTACCTTGTTTTTCCATTGAACCCGAGTTATGGACTGTTTTGTGTTTATTTGCTGAAGTAAGCTCTTCAGCCACGCCTATGTTGAAATGGGATGAGGGAGGAACCCCTGCCTGCTGTAACAGGGAGGGGGGCTTGGAGCATGTTACATGTTACACCCGAAATACAGATGTAATGTGCAACATGTGCCAAAGGTACAATCCTTTTGAAGTACCGTATTTTCCGGCGTATAAGACGACTTTTTGACCCTTGAAAATCTTCTCAAAAGTCGGGGGTCGTCTTATACGCCGGTATATACGGCATGCTGACACTTTTTAGGGGGGCGGTGCGGTGCCGCCGCCGCCCCCCTCTTCCAATGGAAGTGAAACTAAGTACAGGGGTGGGCAGGGGCTTCTGTTTCTTACCTGGCTCCGGTCCCACGACGATCCGGTCCAGGAAGCGCAGCTGCTCCCTCCTTCAGTTCGGCCACTGGATGTTCGTGCGGCTGCTCGGCTCCGCCTCCTCACCGGTGATTGGCCGCCAGAACTGTAGCTCAGGAAAGGCACACAGGCGGCCAATCACCGGGGAGGAGGCGGAGCCGAGCGGCCCCGCGAAAATCAAGTGAAGGTAAGTGTGCCGTGCGATGGGGCACTTCCCCCCCCCCCCCCCCACTGACACCAACGATGGGACACTATTCCTCCCCCCCACTGACACCAATGATGGGGCACTATTCCTCCCACTGACACCAATGATGGGGCACTATTCCCCCCACTGACACCAATGATGGGGCACTATTCCCCCACTGACACCAATGATGGGGCACACTATTCCTCCCACTGACACCAATGATGGGGCACTATTCCCCCCACTGACACCAACGATGGGTTACTATTCCTCCCCCCCCACTGACACCAGTGATGGGGCACTTTTCCCCCCACTGACACCAATGATGGGGCACTATTCCTCCCACTGACACCAATGATGGGGCACTATTCCCCCCACTGACACCAATGATGGGGCACTATTCCTCCCACTGACACCAATGATGGGGCACTATTCCTCCCACTGACACCAATGATGGGGCACTATTCCTCCCACTGATACTAATGATGGGGCACTATTCCTCTCCCACTGATACCAATGATGGGGCACTATTCCTCCCACTGACACCAATGATGGGGCACTATTCCCCCCCACTGACACCAATGATGGGGCACTATTCCCCCCACTGACACCAATGGTGGGGCACTATTCCTCCCACTGACACCAATGATGGGGCACTATTCCTCCCACTGACACCAATGATGGGGCGCTATTCCTCCCACTGATACTAATGATGGGGCACTATTCTTCCCACTGGTGTGCATTGGAAGAGGGGTAGTCTTATACGGCGAGTATAGCCCAAACACTACATTTTAACAGGAAAAGTAGGGGGGTCGTCTTATACGCCCAGTCGTCTTATACGTCGGAAAATACGGTACAATTCCAGGCAAACCCCAGCTAGTCCTAAAACTATTCCTTCCCCCATTCTAACACCTATGCTGACTATCCTTTGAAAGAAAGATGTACATACTTCCCTATTTTCAGCCTGCCCTGGTCCGGTCATGTGATCAGGCTCTCCTGTGTCAGCCAACGCGGCTTCAGGGGAAAGGAGAAAGCGTACACAATGGAAACCTATGGGTGGCACCACCACTCTCAGGCATTGCCAGCCATGCAGCTTGGTGTGCCTTCCTGGCACATTCCAGCTGTGATGAAAAAACGGACTGCCGTGTCCATGTGCAGGGTGACATTCTTAAACCGGTAAATCAAGAGGCCGAAAACCCGGCACCTGGAAGTAGTTGGGGAAAAGCTGACAACAGTTGGTGAGGGATTTAACCGCCACGCTAGATTGAGGAAGTATTTCTCTGAGTTTAGTTCCTCTTTAAACACATAACTAAAAAAAAATCCAAGGAACAAAATGATTGATAAGAAAAAAAGCTAAAACATTTAAAGGGTAAAGAATCTTGCCCACAGAGTTTACTTACCTTTTTATCATTCTTTCTGTGTGTACTGCCCACCAACATAATTGTTTCATTTTCATATTCTGTCCTCCTATTGGAGCGGCTGTTTTGTACTTGACTAATGTAGTCTAATATTAAGTGACAATTGTTACCCCAACATTTCTTATTCCTGATATATGTCTATGGTATCATTTTCGTTTCCTTAAAAGTATCCTGTTCTCTTTGTATTTTTTCCCTTGTTTGAAATACCTGGTGATCCTGCCTATTCCCCTGCTGTCCTATTTCAAACTGACTGCCCTAGGCATAAAAGCACAACCATCCTTGCACGGTCAGTTTTCTGGTTGTGCTCTGATCACAGCCTGCCTATCCTGCAGAGGCCAAGACTTTTGCTGACATGCCCCTCTGCACAGCATTCATTGGGAAGATCCCTGTACTACTGCTTCTCCACCCCCACCTCTCTAAGCCCCTTCTGCAGGTCAGAACAAAGGTTATGCGATCACTTTAAAAAAAAAAAAAAAAAAAAAGCATTTCTAATGTTTTTTTCATATACAGGTGTACCTCGGTTTTACGTATTTAATGCGTTCTGCGGGAATTTGTATTGCGAAAAATTCTTAAACCAAAACGCAGTTTCCCATAGGAATGCATTGAAAACCAATGAATCCGTTCCGGAGGTCAGAAAAAAGTAAAAAAAAAAGTCTTTATCTGTTCAAAACTCTTTTTAAAGTGCACTTTAAAGGCATAATTACTGTACAGGGACATGATTAAAAATTAATTCGTAAATGCACTGAAAACCAATTAATCCGTTCCTGAGGTCAGAAAAAAGTCAAAAAAAGTTTTATCAGTTCAAAACTTTTTATAAGTTGCAGTTTAAAGGCACAAAGGGGCATGATTAAAAAAAAAAACATTAGTAAATGCATTGAAAGCCAATTAATTCGTTCTGGAGGTAAAAAAGTAAAAAAAAAGTCTTATCTGTTCAAAACTTGATAAAGTGCACTTTAAAAGCATAGTACTGTACAGGAACATGATTATAAAAAAATTTGTAAATGCATTGAAAACCAATTAATCCGTTCGTATTGCGAAAAAAATTCGTTAACCGAGGCTTCATTTTCAATGGATTTTCATTCAGAAACCGAAAAAATTACGTTAACCGAGGCGTTCGTAAACTGAGGTACGCCTGTATACTGTGCACACAAATGTTTTGCCTTTTATTTCTTTTTTGTAAACTGAATTGGTTGTTTTACAAGGTAAGGGTTCACATATACTTTAAAATGTTTTTTTGTTTGTTTTTTTTACAGATACGAAATGATACATCTCAAGTGGTTAATGAAAAAGTACCTCAGATTTACACTAAAGCTGCAGAAATGAGAAAACTCTACCAGAAGATAGATTTGCTTGAGGTAGAATGGGGTGTTATTTTAGTAGAAATGATAAGAGTTGTATTGTTTTTGTTAGATCTATTGTATTGGGTTTGACATGGCAAAATATGATACCTACTTTTGCTCACAGAAGCTAAATAGATTTTTTATCATCCACACTCCCATACTGTCTGTATAAAGCAGTTTCTGCTTGGTTGCTATGGACAAAGAGAGTCTTTTTTTGCCACTTACCTTTTTATTGTTTAAAAACAATGAAACTATTGGAGGGAAACATCTTTCACTAGTCAGCTCTGTGGGTTTTAACTTACATCACAGAATCCTGAATCACATGATTCCACAGAAATCTTAGCACACTTTTTTTATTTTGGTGATGGAATTTTGAGTAAGTAGTATGAAACTGGCAGAAATCTGTAGGCATACCATCCACCAAATGCATCCCAGGAACCGAATAGACTTGCAGGGTGGTGGCCGTGGATGTAGGTAGAGTATATGGGTGGGTAAATACCAAAAGAACGCCCTGATTCTGTACCAGTGAGGGACACATAGAAGCATCATTCGTGGAGATGGTTGGTGGTCATGTGATTGGGGCAATGGGCTTCTAGGAGCTGTAAATGTCAGGATGTGGACTCCACCAAAATTGGGCTCTGTTTATTGTATGGACACTTTTGAGGAATAGCTGTTAATTTGGCATCCCTATAAATGACCTTGGGGGCATCAACAGGCTGTACGCGTGGGACATAAAAGAACACTACTGTCACATACCTGGCGGAGGTATGTGACAGTACCTGCAGCTCAGGGCCCCTAGTAAAGCTACATGAGGGATAAGGTCACAGAGTGGCTTGAGTGCCTGACAGATCTCTCAGCAGCTGATGTGGATAGGTCATCTGTGCTTCTCTGAGCGTGGACCGAAGAGTGGATGTGAGAACATTAAAAATGGCAGACCGTAGTTGGTGTCCGACAGGAACTGGCTGGACAACATTAAGACGATCAGCTGGCTCAGCTGAGCAGCGGGTAACTGGTTGGCAGGCACTGGCCCCAAGCGGCAGATAGTACAACAGTAGAGTCAGGCAAGCTGGGTCTGTACCTGGAGGGGGGAGATAAGGTGTAAGCAGAAAGATGGAAGAGTAGTCAGGGTTCAAGCCAGAGTCATCAACAGCGAGGCAGATCAGCATAAGGAGTAGGCAGAGATGTAATTCAAGGACAACTGTGGATCAGTTCAGGGGAATTCAGGCATAGTCGGAGGCAGATCAGTAGAAAGTGGTCAGATACAGGAACAAGTAACAGATTATGTAGGAAACGCTGTAGACCAAACAGCAATGATGCAGTGCAGCATCTCTGTTTAAATAGCCTGTTTGGCACCAGCAATAGTGACAGTCACATGTGCAAGTAAACACGCACCTCTGCATGTATAAGTGTGGGCTCAAGCTGATCCACACATGCTCTTCCATGCACCATTCTGTGCGCACTTCTGCCTTTCCTGACAACTACCCCTGATACATATAAGAAAGAGCCTCACTTGTTCTCCTGAAGAAGCGGTGTTGGTATCCTAGAAACGTGTTTAGAAAGATCTCCATTCCAACAGCTCATTAGCAAAGGTATAAATATTATGTATAATCACTTGACGGGGAATTCAATCACAGCTAAGGGGTGTTTTTGATGATGATGATGATGATGATGTTTATACAGCTGAGGCTGGAGTAAATGGAATTAATAAATAGTAGGTTAATATAAATGGCTGCTACTGTGTTATTAATCAGTTGCCACCCGCTCACAGCACATTTACTGTGAGCAGGTGGCAGGTGTCGCCACCTGCTTCCTGGTTTTCGTGTACGCGTCCCCTGCTCACCCATGCTGTGATTGGACATAGCCGGAGTTTGTCAGCAGGTTTCAGCCAATGCTTTTCTGCTGTGCCCAAAAATGTGTTTACAGACACACAGAACTCTGTGTACACAAAACAAGGATCTGGCTGTTCTTCTCCCTGAAAAGCAGGGAGGAAAAAACAGCCAGATCTGTGAATAAAAGCAGCACACATAACACTTTTTAGGGACCCAGTAAACCCTGGATGTTAACCCCTTCCCAGCCAGTGTCATTAGTACAGTGTTATCAGTGATCACTGTATTGGTGTTACCAGTGACATTAGTGTCCCTCCCTAGCGCCAGATTGCCCACCAGATTATCTCAGTCACACTATTAGTTGTTGATCACTGCCATTACAAGTAAATTTCAGTATATATTTTGTTGATGCTATAACTTTCCCACAAACCAATTAACATACACTTATTGAGATTTCTAAATTTATGAAGAAATTAGACTTTTTTATTTATTTTTTTAATTGGATATGTTTTATAACAGAAAGTTATAAAGTTTAGTTTTATATAATAAAAAATAATAAAAATTATTTTTAAAAACCCAGTGGTAATCAAATACCACAAAAAGAAAGCTCTATTTGTGTGTAAATAATTATTTTAATTTCATTTAGATACAGTGTTGCATGACCGCGCAATTACATAGTCTGGCTAAAAAAAGACAAAAGTCCATCCAATCAACCATTTTAAAAAAAAAAAAAAAAAAATTATAATCCTACACCCACAGTTGATTCAGAGGAAGGCAAAAAAAAACCCCAGCAAAGCATGATTCAATTTGCTCCTGCAGGGGAAAAAATTCCTTCCTGATCCCCCGAGAGGCAATCGGATATTCCCAGGATCAACTTTACCTATAAATGTTAGTATCCAGTTATATTCTGTGTATCTAAGAAATAATCCAGACCTTTTTTAAAGCAATCCACTGAGCTGGCCAGAACCAACTCTTGAGGGAGTCTATTCCACATTTTCACAGCTCTCACTGTGAAGAAACCTTTCCGTGTTTGGATATAAAATTTCTTTTTTTTCAGACATAAAGAGTGCCCCCTTGTCCTCTGATGACCTCAGGGTTAATAACTCTACACCGAGTTCAATATATGAACCACTGATGTATTTATACATGTTGATCGTATCCCCCCATAATCTCCTCTTCTCAAAAGAGAATACATTCAGTTCCTCTAATCTTTCCTCATAGCTGAGCTCCTCCATGCCTCTTATCAGTTTGGTTGCCCTTCTCTGTACTTTCTCCAGTTCCCCAATGTTCTTTTTGTGAATTGGTGCCCAAAACTGAACTGCATATTCCAGATGAGGTCTTACTAATGATATGTACAGGGGTAATATGATATCTCTCTCTCTGGAGTCTATACCTCTTTTAATACAAGAGAGGATTTTGCTTGCTTTAGAAACTGCAGCTTGGCATTGCATGCCATTATTAAGCTTGTGATCTACCAGAACCCCCAGATCCTTCTCCACCATTGATTCCCCCAGTTGTACTCCCCTAGTATGTATGATGCAGGAATATTCTTAGCCCCCAAGTGCATGACCTTACATTTATCAACATTAAACCTCATTTACCACATAATTGCCCAATTAAACAGTGCATTGAGGTCAGCTTGTAAATTGGAGACATCCTGTAAGGACGTTATTCCACTGCACAGCTTGGTGTCATCTGCAAAGACTGAAATGGCATTTATAATCCCAGACCCTATATCGTTTATAAATATATTAAAAAGTAAGGGTCCCAACACTGAACCCTGGGGTACACCACTGATGACCCCAGACCATTCAGAGTATGAATCAATTACCACTAATCTCTGAATTCGGTCTTTTAGCCAGTTTTCTATCCATTTACATACAGATTTTTCCAAACCTGTAGAATTTACCTTACACATTAGTCGGGGATCTCTGTCAAACTCTTCTGCATAATCCAAGTATACCACATCCAGTGCCACCCTTCTGTCCCAAGGTTTTGCTCACCTCCTCATGAAAAGAAATCAGATTTGTTTGACAACTTCTGTCTTTCATGAATCCATGATGTCTGTTGCTTAAAACATTTTTTTCCAGCAAGAACTCATCTATGTGGCCTTTTATTAAACTCTCCAGTATCTTCCCAACTATAGAAGTTAAACTAACAGGTCTATAATTACTTGGTAAATATTTTGACCCCTTTTTAAATACTGGCATCACATTAGCCTTACACCAATCCAGTGGTACTATGCCAGCCATTAAAGGGTCCCTAAAAATTAGAAACAATGGCTTTGAAATGACAGAGCTCAATTCTTTAGGGACCCGTGGATGTATGCCATCCAGTCCAGGTGCTTTATTCACCTTTATTCTGTCTAAATATTTTTGGATCATATCAATTGTGAGCCAATGTGGATCATCTGGAGCTGTGTCAATACCATGCCCACTATGGACAAGAGCTCCCCCATGCTCCTTTCTATATACAGAGCTGAAGAAGGTATTTAATAAATTTGCCTTCTCTTTGTCCCCAGTCACCCACTCTAGATTATTTTGTAAAGGGCCTACATGCTTGGACCGGACCTTTTTACTATTAATATATTTGAGGAATTTTTGGGGGTTGGTCCTGCTATCTTTTGCAATCTGTCGTACGGTTTCAATTTTTTCGGCCTTTATTACCTTTTTGCATATTCTGTTATATTCTTTGTAATGTTTAAACGATGATAGCTTTCCTTCATTTTTATATTTAATAAAAGTTCTTTTCTTATTATCTATAGCTTTTTTAACTTTGGCCGTAAGCCACATAGGTTTGATTTTTTTGCCTTTTAAACTTGTTGCCCATGGGAATATATTTTGCAGTGTGTTCACATACAGTCTTTTTGAAGAACTCCCATTTCTGTGTTGTGTTCATTGATGCCAATATTCCCTCCCAGTCTAAGTCTTGGAGAACAGCTCTCAGCCTTGGAAAATTAGCCCTCTTAAAATTGAGCATTTTTATTTTTCCATTATGTGCTTGCTGTTTCCAGCTAACAATAAATTAAATCATGTTATGGTCACTGCTACCCAGATGTTCTTTTATATGGACATTCATAATATGTTCTGCATGGTTTGAGATTACCGGGTCCAGCAGAGCATCATTCCTAGTAGGGGCCTCTATGAACTGTACCATAAAATTGTCCTGTAGTAGGTTTAAACATTTTTGCCCTTTAACTGTTCCTGCAGTATCATTATTCCAGTCAATTTCCAGGTAGTTAAAATCCCCCATTATTATCACTGTCCCAGCCCTTGCAGCCCTTTCGATCTGTGCAAGGAGCCGAGTCTCCACCTCCTCATTAACACTTGGAGACCTATAACAAACTCCAATGATTACCTTTGTAACACACACCCCCATGTGCAGTTCCACCCATAATGCTTCAGCCTCATCAAACTCTCCATCAACTAGGTCCTCTTTCACACTCACTCTGAGTTCACTTCTTACATAGACAGACACCACCACCTTTCCCATTTACCCTGTCTCTCCAAAGGAGAACATAGCCAGGAATACTAATGGCCCAGACATGTGAAGAACGAAGCCAAGATTCAGCAATACTAATTAAATCATAGTTCTCTTCATGCACCAAAGCTTCCAACTCATCTATTTTGCTTGGCAGATTTCTGGCATTGGTGAACAAACACTTTAATTCATTGACACCTTGTGCACACATATTTTATATATTTTTTATTTTCACACAAATGGTACCAATTCCACTGGTTGTTTGTAACATGGGAATGTTCTTATCTGCCATAGCCCTCTCCCCATCTTTCCCCATTCCACCCACTAATAAGTACTGACCCCTGTCTGATCTAGCTACCCCGTTATAATCTAATTCTCCCTCCCCCCTTGATCCTAGTTTAAATACTCCTCCAGCCTTCCCATAAACCTCTCCCGCAGCACAGCAGACCCCGTTCCATTTAGGTACAAACCATCGCTGCACCCCAATGAAAAAGTCAGCCCAGTGCTCTAGAAACCCAAAATCCTTCCTTCTTACACCAGGTCTTCAGCCATGCATTGAGTTCTCAAATCTCCCCTGTCTTTCCTGTGTTGTGCAAGGCAGAGGTAATATATCAGAGAATATCACCTTGGAGGTCCTTCCCTTCAACTTGCAGCCTAGTTCTTTAAATTGATTTTTAAGGAGCCTCCACCTTACATGTATTTTGTCATTGGTTCCAACATGGACCAAGACAGCTGGGTGATGCCCAGCCCCTCCCAGTAGGTAAACAAGTGGAGTATCCACTTTTGGGTGGAATTCCGCTTTCAGACCCTACAAATAAAAATGTGTGTGTATTCGTCACTAGAAGAACGGAGATACAGATCTATGTGCCCTATCCAACTGCTTCCTAGCATTATATCTTCTATATCTGCCTATTTCATTATTCATTGTGGAAAGTTTGTGTTTATGTTAGAAATGCTATTATAACAATTTTCTTCTGTTTTTTTGCACAAATGGACAGACCTTTGTGAAGAAGGTTGGAGGTGATGTGGCTCTCATGGAAGAGCAGGTTACACAAGCTGAAACAAACTTGGGGACCTTTCCTAACCCTCTCAAGAAAATCTTCCAGAACCTCAGTGCCTCGCCTCTCTTTTCTCCCACGGTAGGCATTTGTTGTGTTTTTCTAAGCTTTTTCTAATTGGAGCATTCAAGTGGTAGTTGTTGGTGTCTTTCAAAAAAGAACTCTGAGTGACCTATGGAAAGTAGTTTTACAAGCAAAATTTTCCAGTTTGACTGAGCCATCCTAAAAACACCCCAACTGCCTGTCTTAACATTCTCTACCTCTACATTTCACCTACAGAAGGATAATCATTCAAACGTAACAGGTCACAGATGATTAAGCTGCAGATTATAAAGCAATGTAAACTGTAGAACAAGGCAGATTATTGATAAACCTTCAAAAATCACTATATTGCCTTGTTTGCTGGTTGAAGCCATGAGACCTTAAATGCACAAAAAAAAAAAAAAACTGAAACTGAGAATATACAATTCAACAATGTCCTTCTAAAAATCAGGAATAATTGAGATCGGTCTGGTTTACATTGGACCAAAACTGGAACTGAAAAAAACCTCATCGCTTCTGGTTTCATAGAACATAGAGATGGTTGGGGAACTTCAATTTCTCCCTCATCTCTATGGTCAGCTTCAGTCCTGGGCTTCATGGTGGAACAGGAGAGCTCGGAAAGGTGGCCGAACGTGGAGTGACTACCTTCCGCCACATGTAAAAGTAATACAGTGGCTGTATAGCTACTTCGATTGCTTTTACATTAATGAGCATTGCCGACTCTTAAAAAAAACAAAAAAAAAAAAAAAAAGGGGCCATGACTGCAGCAGGCCATGGCCCTGATATAACCACTTAAACCCAAGGACATATGGGTACGTTCTAAGGGCAGTGGTTAAAATATGGCACTAGTGCTTGAAGCTAGGCCAAGTCTTCTATTGGTTTCCAATGACATCAAAGGCTGACCATACACTGTTACAATTTTTCATTCAGCCTTCCGCCCAGCAACTTTGTTTTTTTTCTATCGAGGGATGTTGACTCGGGAGGTGGCAACCCACTAAGTAAGGAAATGGCCGAAAGTAGTAATTTGTATGGCCAGAAAAAAACACCCACTTTCAGAGAGGGACAAGGTACAGAGCTGCATCCTTGTGCTCACAAGAGATCTTGATTGCTGTCAGTTCAGTATACTTGCACTTCACAATATGCAGTCATCTTCCAGTTATATACATACACACTATTGTGAGGAAGCAGATAATCCCATACATCACCCAAGATGCCAGTCTGGCAATAGATGTGTATTTCTATCCAGTCACCTAGTGAAAGGTTAAGCATGTTTATTCTGAGTGTGTCATATTCAGAAAAAAATGTGATCGTAGTCAATGGCACTGGCATAAATTAGTGTCATATATGTTTCATCTCAGTTCAATTAAGTGCAAGAGTGCATATATATTATTGCATACACAAAAAGCAGAAAGTGTGCAGTGTCTTTGTTTTCTCTTGTCTGAGGAGGGCTGCAAAGCTTAGTGAGCATTGGATATCCTGGGCAAGCAGCAGATACCAGGAATTCAAAATGTTTCTGTTTATATTTCCATTGCACGGCCCTTGCTTGAGCAATGTAGAGTATTTCTGTTTGACTTTGTGAGATAGAGATATGTGTGTGTGTGTGTGTGTGTGTGTGTGTGTGTGTGTGTGTATATATATATATATATATATATATACACACATTTATATATATCTGTTAATACATTTTATGCTTATCTGTTCAGAAAGCAACACCATCTCCAAGGGCACCGCAAGTCCGATATGAGCCTCCACTTGTGTTCAAGACTGAAGATTTCTTCTCAACTTCCAGCTGACCGGCACAATAGTAGAAGGCCAGGATGTGAATTCTGGACCCTGCCATGGACAATAAAGTTCTGCACTTTCTACAAGATGTTATTAATTTTACACTAAGGAATATTATCAAGTCTTCCAGCCAAGCTTTTTATCACATCATTGTAGAATTTGAAATCATTTCAGTCATGGGGTTACTTGATTGTGTTGGAACTGCACCATGACTGCATTTACAAACACACACAAATGTTGGGTATGATGCTATGCAGATTTCTTGCGCATTGAATGAATAGATATCCATCATGAAGTCTTTTTGTAAAGACAAATAATACATTTTTGATGCCATTTTCTTATAGCTACTACAGAGCCACATTGCACTGCATTGTAACTATGTTACTTCTTCAGTGTTTGCCACTGGTAAATATGCTCGGTTTGTTCTGTGCTTATGTAAAACTTGGAGTCCTATTCAGAACACTGCTTTTTTCAACGTAAAGTGGAACTACACAAACTGAGCACCACAAAATCAAAAGCAGTATTTAACCACTTGCCCTCCAGAGGATTTACCTCCCTTCCTGACCGGGCCATTTTTTGCGTTATGGCACTGCGTTACTTTGACAATTGTCCTTTTTTTTTTTTCCCACAAATTGAGCTTTCTTTCGGTGGTATTTGATCACCTGTGCGGTTTTTTTTTCTTTTTTTTTTTTTTTTGCGCTAAAAAAAAAAAACCCGACAGTTTTGAGAAAAAAAAAAAACAACAATATTTTTTGACTTTTTGCTATTAAACATATCCAGTAAAAAAAAAAAAAAAATAACATTTCGTCATAAATTTAGGCCAAAATGTATTCTGCTACATGTCTTTGCTAACAAAAAAAAAAAAAATCCCAATACGTGTAAATTAATTGGTTTGCATGAAAGTTATGGCATTTACAAATGACGTTATATATACTGGGATTTTTATTTTTTTTTAATTTTTACTAGAGGCGGCAATCAGCGACTTATAGCAGGACTGCAGCAGGCACTGGGGGGAACTGAGTTAGTGTCACTGACATCCCCAGTGATACCAATACAGTGATCAGTGCTAATAAAAAGCACTAACACTGTACTAATGGCACTGGGCATGAAGCGGTTAACGTGGGGCGATCAAAGGGTTGACTATGTACTGTTTTACTTGGGGCTGTGTCTGTGTGCTTTACTGTAAGCACACTGCTTTGCATGAAAAGTAGTGCAAAGCCATGCAAAGTAGTGTGTAGGAGCTGACAGGGAGGAGAACTGTTTTGTTTACTAACAGTTCTTCCCCCATTGGAGACCCTCAGCAATCACTAGGTGTCGGCAACTAATCAGGACTCGATGATTGACAGCTGCGGCCACAAATGGAAATGCAAAAATTACATCTATGTACATGATTTTACACACCTGTGCCTCCCTGTATCAGTATATCTGCTATATGGCGGACAGGAGGCGGTTAATTCATTTTTTGTTATTCATTGTAAACTCCCCTACCCATCAATGTCTCCATGCTTTATTTTGCTGGGAAATCACTTACGACCCCCCTCTAGTATTTCTTGAGTAAGGGTAGATGATTCATGTAGCATTTACTTTCTGGAATCCATCTGGCCTTAGCTCAGGCATTCAAGCAGAATGGTGTGCTTACCTGAGAATGCCCCTCCTTACGACTCCTGGGATGTATGACATAATTTGCCTAGGCATTAACTAAAGAAATGTAAAAGACTGTTTAACACAAGTAAATATGATATACGTCCCTATCTATTTACTAATGCTAACAGTATAAGAATTCAAAATAGCCAGTGTTGATTTAGAGAGTGAACTTCCACTTTAAGCCAGGACAATACGCGCAAATTGAAATATAACAACTTTCAGCTGACCCCTCTTCATTTATTACTGTAGTACAGTCAGGCTGCATATACAGTAGTAACATATGCCTATATAACTTCTTTAATCAGCTACGTGCTGCAGCAGGAGTTAAAAAACACTGTTCTGCCAGCACATAGGAGAGACAGACTGTGACACAGAAGCAGTGGCTAGGCTCTCCAATGGTCCGACACGCCCCACTGAACACTGCTCTAGTCAACATTCCTCATGCTCCCTCAGCAGTTCTGTTGTTTAGAGCAGTGTTCCAGGACATGTTGCTGCAGCACTTAGTAGATTAAAAAAAAGGCATATCCACCACTGTATATCCATCCTGACTGCAGAATATAAAAAACTTAATTGAACATTTACTGAAATTTGCAGTGTATAGTGAGCATGTCTAGCTGATGCATTTAAAACGCTGGCCAACTTGGCCTACTTTGGCAATCTGTCTACACCTATCATATTAATGATCCTCTGTAGTCACTGTTACAAGCATTGTTTTCTAGAAAAGATTGCTCTTACTAAACATTTGATAGGTGGAAATAGATGATGACTTTTGTGTGTTGTAGTCTATGAAACCGCAGCACATGAATTTTCTTACCTTTCAGTATATTTAAATGAGTTTTCTGTTCAACCCATGCAGTTACTAAAAACATTTTCTTCATATCTTTCTTCTTCATGGTGGCTTATAGTCACCCTGTAGTTCTGCCATGACTGTGGTAGTCAGGTGCATTATAGTCTTCTGTCAATCAAGGCTGCAGATAGCAATAACAAATTCATCCTTAGTGTGTAAATACCTTGTTGTAGTTTTGTGTAGCTAGCAAAATGTATATTGTTACAAGTCTAGCATTTTGTGTTGGAAAACAAGTTAAGATGGTCCTCACAGAGGTCCTCCCCCTTGGTCAGCTTGTCAATCACAGTTCATGATAGTATGGATACAAAGGCCTATTTCACAAAGCTAATGCACCAGGATTAAGATCCAAGTGTCCAATCAGATTTGGCCGCTACAGTCGCATGGCAAAAAATCCTTATGCCTTGCTAAAGCTTTATGGATTTGGTACAGTATTTAGGTCTAGACCCCCATCCAACTCTACCTCTGTATACACAAGGCTCCTTCTCAGCTGTAACTCTAGAGAGTAAGCAGTGCTGCCAAGGTAGTAAGTGGAATCTACAATGTAGGCAGTGTTTAGTTAGTCAGTATATGAGCATGGCAACTGTGGACAAATTTGAATAAGACGTTTTTTTAAAGAAATCCTATAAATAAGGCAGTTTCTGCTTTGTTCTGTAATCAAGAGGAAGAATGAAGAATCATATGAAATGTTCAGTATGGTATGTAAAGCACTTTAGAGTGACTGAGCAACTGGCACTAGCATTGCAGGTAGCTTAGCCCCACATGTGCCTCATGAGCTACTGGCTTGGTGCTACAGTTTTAAGGTAAACCAACCACAGTACTGGCAATTCAAGATAAGCATGTTTCTGGAAATATTGGATTTCAAAATCATCAATAGGGCCAGCTATACAGGCAGATGAAGTTGTATAGAAATGTTACCTTTTAATGTCATATTAGGTCTCACCCTGTCTCAAGCCTCTTTCTCGGTCCTTAACATGACAGCCTGTTTGACCAATTAGAAGGTGAGGGACAGGGGCAAGTTTGATTTTTACAGAAAATGCCAAGGTTTGCAAGGAACATTTGTTGCCTTTATATTTTTTAGCAAATTTAGTTTAAACTGCTTGAGTTTGTTACAGATTCATTTTATGGGGGTCCATTCAGCCAAAAGTGATATTTTTGTTACAAGTAAAGCCTAGAAGGTTAAGGCAACTGCCTTTTGAAATATTTTGGGTACTCCAGGCTCAATATATCTCCACAATTTACAGACTCTGTTCTAACCACTTGGTAGTTTGGTAAATTACAGACTTTGACAGGTGAGTTAGTGCTTCAACATCTTCCAATACAGAAATACCGTATTTGCCGGCGTATAAGACGACTGGGCGTATAAGACGACGACCCCCCTACTTTTCCTGCTAAAATGTAGTGTTTGGGCTATACTCGCCGTATAAGACTACCCCTCTTCCAGTGCACACCAGTGGGAGGAATAGTGCCCCATCATCGGTATCAGTGGGGGGAATAGTGCCCCATCATTGGTATCAGTGGGGGGAATAGTGTCCCATCATTAGTATCAGTGGGGGGAATGGTGCCCCATCATTGGTGTCAGTAGGAGGAATAGTGTCCCAACATTGGTGTCAGTGGGAGGAATGGTGTCCCATCATTGGTGTCAGTGGAGGAATAGTGCCCCATCATTGGTGTCAGTGGGGGTGGAATAGTGCCCCATCGTTGGTGTCAGTGGGGGGTGGAATAGTGCCCCATCGTTGGTGTCAGTGGGAGGAATAGTGCCCCATCATAGGTATCAGCGGGAGGAATAGTGCCCCATCATTGGTATCAGTGGGAGGAATAGTGCCCCATCATTGGTATCAGTGACACCAATGATGGGGCACTATTCCTCCCACTGACACTTGCTGACTCTGTTCTCGTATGGTGCTGCTGCAGCCAGCATATGTGGTTGCAGCAGCACCTCTACACTGACCACTTACCTGCTGGTCCTGCACTCGATTTTCGCGCGGCCGCTCGGCTCCACCCTCTCGCCGGTGATTGGCCGCCTGTGTGCCTTTCCTGAGCTACAGTTCTGGCGGCCAATCGCTGGTGAGGAGGCGGAGCCGAGCAGCCGCGCGAACTCCAGTGGCCGAACTGAAGGCGCAGCCGCGCTTCGTGGACCGGATCGTCGTGGGACCGGAACCAGGTAAGAAATAGCCCCTGCCCACCCCTGTACTTAGTGTCCCTTCCGTTAGGGGAAGGGGGGGGGGGCGGCGGCGGCACCGCGCCGCCCCCCTAAAAAGTGTCATGTCATGTTATACCGGCGTATAAGACGACCCCCGACTTTTGAGAAGATTTTTAAGGGGTAAAAAGTCATCTTATACGCCGGCAAATACGGTACCTGTTTTCGGTAAAGTGTTTTAAGATACATGCAAAGCTCATTAATGTCTTTGTGTTGGGGCTTCCAGCATTGCAATTCTATAAATTTTTTTACTTTGTATACAAAATAAACAATGCAATAGCCATTCTCATGTAGTACTGGCATTTTTTTGTGTTGTCACAAAC